GGAATATTTCATACGCGTACATACATGAAGACCCTGCAAGTACGTGACGGTCACTGTTCCTACAAGAGCATGCCATTGCAGTTGTATCACGCTAATGTGTGTAGAGTATGTTCAGTGTCAACCATAAAGTAGCTGCTATTTGTGTGCAGCCTGGGATAAATTACGTAACATTTTAAAATCCTGCAATACCAAATTTAATCAAAATCCTCTCACCCAGAGTCACGTGGAAATGAACATGCACAAGTGCTGCTGGGAGGAAACACAGAATATACGTGTATTTATATTCCTCGTACATTTAGTTTCCCTGGGAAAAAAAATCGGGCCTCCGCTGTACTGAATAAATTTCGTGGTGATTTTCCTCATTCCCTCCAGCTTATTTGAAGAGTATACTGTCATTTCGAACTGAATTCTAAACGATTCAGCATGAATGTCTGTAAGCCGTACAGAAAAATACAGACAGTGAAACCGTACAATAACGTCCATGCAGTGTAAACGAAACACACTTACCTGTGCCGATGTAGGTAAGCAAGGAGCGCGTCTTCACGAGTATTGTGCCGTAGACGACTGGCTTCTGGGTTCTGGCCGTAGAGTGCTACATCTCCATTCTTCGGCGCGGCTTCCAGGTCATGAATATCGGTCAGTGAGTAGGTCAACAGCCCCACCTGCTATCCAGGACATGATCCCCCCCCCCCTTGCTACTCAGAACCGAAGTTGTAAGTCACAACTGTAGCCCAAGTAACCTGCATGCAGGGATGTAACTCTGTAACTCAGTTGCCTTTTCCGATGACGGCGCATTGTCATCAAGAGGCCTGCATCTCTCAACAATATCGGAGTGAGAAAAGGCTGCGGAAATCAGTATCAAGTGGTCCATTACCTTCACAATTGTTCATTCTGTTTCATTCAAATCTCCTACTAGCAGAATAGTGTTTGCCGGTAGCTGTAGGACAGGATGGTATGGGGAGTGGAGGGGGGGGGGCACTTGGTCGTCTGCATTTTGTAAACTGATGCTCAGTCGTTTCGTTAAGAGCAGAGAGAACTGTACTTCCCGTAAGTAGCCTGAAAATATTACTGAGTAGATTTTTAATTTCCATTAAACTACTTCCTTTATATACTGATGTACAAGCAAAGATGTACTCTTTTGAAATTCTCGAAAATGGTTCATAGTACAAGAAATGTACTGGCCTGATAGCACAATATTTAACCGTACCATCTCTTTTAAGTGAGGAACGCGGTAGCGTAGTTGGTTGAGGCATTATGCTACAAGCCGGGATGTCGTGGGTTCGAGTCCCAATGAAGTCATTGGGTTTTTCAGTTTACCTAAGCCTTCCAGCTGCACTGTGGCCCTGGGGTCGACTCTGCCTCTAACAGAAATGAGTACCAGGAATCTCTCTTGGCGTAAAGGGCAGCCGGCGTGTAAGGCTGACAACCTTACTGCCATTGTGAGCCGATTGTCTAGATAATGTGGGAGCCTTGACTGCCTGTTACAGGAACAGCTTTACCGTTTTTACCTTTTTATCTCTTTTAAGTATTTCTTCGATTTTCTACATATTTAACGGAAGGCATTCAACTTTGCCTTCTATAAAGTAACCAGTCTTAATTTGCCGACACAGCTCGAACTGATTTTATGTCGTGTTCCTCATATCATACTTCTCAAGAGACGGAGAGAGAGGGTTGGAAAATTGAAAGACTCGCCACAGACGTGGACGGACATGCCGACAGGAATATTCTACGGACTTCCGTCACACAACTGAAAGAGTGTGTTTGAGTAAACTGGTCCTTTCTTCATTGTTGTCTTTCTGTATCTTGGCTTTGAGTGTACGTTTCATTTGTGTACCTCCCTTCACTGTTCGGTATATTAAGCAACTTTATCTAGAACTGATTTTTAACCCCCTTCCGGGTTTGTCTGAGGTAGGAACATATTCATAGGCGCAGGCAGAATATTTCCAAAATGGGGGAGCTAAAATTTGCTTATAAACTTACGTTTAAACAGTTTAACAATATTATTCAAAATCGACCTAAAGAATTACTTCTTTCTAATACGTTTAATTTTCGCTATTAATATTTCGTATATTTCTTTTTTTTTTTCTTTCTTTCTTCCCCCCCCCCCCACAAATCGAGGCAGGTGGCAAAGTTCGGCTTGGCCCCCCAGTTGGGGCCCATGAATATGTTCACAACCTAAATAATCACGCCATATTAATATAACTGGTCCGCTACGAGTCTTAGCAAAACGAGAGCATTTCGTGTGACTGTGAGAGTCCCAGAGAGTACTGAAGTTTGTTAGTTTAAGTGTGCATTTCTCACCCTATATGAATCAATACGGGTGCTATAGGAATAATTTCTGTGAAGCACTTTTGATGTCTGATTTCCGCCAAATGCTTCAGCGTGTGTGCGTGCGCGCGCGCGATGGAACGGCCCCACGTCTCAAGTTTCACTCCGTTTTGATGTGTATGATCTGAGAATTTTACTTGAGGCTTCTATTTGAAATACGTTTAGCCCGAACAAGTTTCGCATATGTTGACGTTAATTATTTGGAAGAGAGAAAACGTTAATTCTTTGGTTACGCTTGTCCCCCTGTTTCATGTTCGTCCGTGTGTACACTCGTAATAGACAATAATTTAATCTGATGCGCGAACCTTTACCTAAATCTGAAGATGAAATCCAGTTTTATCCACACACAATGACGTGTACCACAGTGTAACATCATCTGAATATATTTCGAAACACATTTAATGCCCCTATATACACGTAGGAGCATGCACATCTGTGTACCTTCCCAGTATCCTAAATATCAGGGTGAGGACACATCAAAGAAACTGGCAACTGCAACGCAACCGCAACTTCCGAGAAACGCCACCGATTTCAAGCAAGCAATCATTTCCAGATTAGCAGACGCACACTGAGGAAACTTATGTTTGATTAGCTGCCCACATCATCTTAAGTGGGTATGTTCATCCGGCTTACTGCGTGCGTGTAGTTCTTAATTTCGTGCACTTATCTTCTGCGATGGCAGATAACACTGATCCTGTCGTAATGTGGCGGTAGTTGAGTCGGCGTGAGAAGAGAGGATGACGACCATAAGGAAAACATTCGGATTTATTTTAATCAGGAAATATCGTGTTTACACGCGATACGAAATTCTGACATGCAATGCAACAGTTTTAGCAAGTTAGAAGACACCTGATGATGGCCGTATACAGCCGAAACATGTAGTGAGGAAGAAGGACGACTGGATAATGAGTTGCATTTAAGACGGAAGTATATGTGAAATAAATTATATATTAATGCAAATGGATGCTTAGATACAATATTAGGAAAAGGAAACATTGGGTGCATCTGTTCTTCAGTGACAGTTTGAACCGAGGTGTTATGTATTGTTTCGAAAGGACACGTCCAGGATCCATACTCCATCTCATGAGAAATTCTTTCCCAAGCCACGTCTATTTTGTCCCGCCTAGCATAGTCTGAGTGGCATTTGTGCCATCTTCAGAAGCATATTAGAACAGCTGACACCAGGAAACTACGTGGCAACGCAGCTGTGAGAAGACTGCCTTGTTCAGTTCTCAGTTTTCCCGCGAGTTGCATTGCAGTTGCGTTGCCGTTTCCACAATTTGCGCTGCTCAGTTCAGTTCCACGTGTTCAACTCAGTCTGACAACAATTCTCTGAAGTTGCGGTTACCAGTTGTCAACTACTCTCGCAAAGAAAGCACGTAGTTTCGTGACAGTCGCTACTCTCGTAGCGGGACTTGCTAATGTGCTTTCCGTCACAAGCATTGCATTGTCTCTATTAGGTCTTCTGACCCAGTGATTACTATATGCACCATTTGCTTTATTACTTATTAGTAATTGTTAGCTTCGTGTGACTGCAAGAATAAGTAGCTATTATTTCCTTAAGCAGCATTAACCGATTTGTCTTTGTAATGGGGACGCAGTCTGTTCTCTTTGAGGTAGGAACTGAGTCCTACATGTATTATATAGGCGAAGTTCTTGCTTCATTCGCAAAGTAGGACAAGGCGAAGCCAGACACAGGAAATGTAAGATGTGTAAACTTGGCGGCGGTCAAGCTCTCGACTGTTCACGCGACTAGGAGTAAGTTGCCGTTGTAGCATAAGCTAAATGAGATAAGCATTGTCTTGTAAGCATTGTAAGCCTGGACTGACAGAGGATTTTTGTATATTGGGAAGATTTTCAAAATTATGCTGTATGTGCGATACGTACGCCTGAAGAAGGCCAAGCTTATTCACAAGAGACAAACGCATCTCCTCGTCAGAAAGGATGTTACATATGGACTGGGGCCGTAAGGGTTCAGTTAAAAAAAAGAACTTTGGTCATGAGCTTCAAGGGACTCGGCATCCATGTTTACTTCTACACTAGTTAACTCTGTTGAATGTCTATTTTTACCTTTGCATCCAACATATTAACGCGGTCAGGGTATGCATGTGCCTTAATTTAGGCCACATAATAAATACTCACAAGGCCGATAGATATTAAAAATATGAGTTTAATCCTAGTTCATTTAACGAAACTCGTCGAACAAAACTGGTGACAAAGTGTTGAATAACATATGATTTTTATGAATTATGAATGTGAACAGAAGTTGTTGTGGCCTGGTTTTAAAATAATACCCCAGAATATCCTGCAGAAATAAGTAAAGTCATAGACAACCTCGGAATAGCCGGCTTCCGGACCGAGATCGAACCGGGAACCTCTCGGAAAATTGTAAGAGGATCGCTAACATTAGCGGCTCATTTAATAAGATGAACGGTTTATGTTGCGTGCATTTGCTTCCGACAGTGTTTTGCTTTCGACATGAGAATGCCCGTAAGTCTTCACTTTCATAAGTATATACGTGTACACACATTATTGGTGGGACGACTTGGTGAAAGAATTCATGCGATATGCAGTTTCAGAAAGTGATTGCACTTACCGGAAGTGCACCCCCCAATCTGAAGAACAACGAAAACTGGGTAACCTGCTGACCTAGATATATATCTTTGTTACAGCCCACTTAGAGCTGCATCCAGTGGCATTTCAAGAGTCGAGTGGTCAACATGCGGTCTCTGCCCCTTAGCCTGCTGCTGCTCACAGCCGCCGCTGTCAACTCTGGCAGCATCATGGGTGAGTTGGCGTCACTACAAATGTGGGCGGTAACACCGTAATACGTAAGGGCTCATATTCAAGGCAGTTCTCCCCCTCTGGCATCTGAGAACTACAAAAATCTACTAATTATGCCTGTTGTTTGTATCGGTGTGAGAGAAGGGCACAAAACAGGGCGCTGAGGAGAATACTTGAATTCAAAATGGAAGAAGAAAGGAGTTTGTGCAAAATTTCATAATGAGGAGTTTCGTAATCTGTGCTATTTACTCAATATTATTAAGACGCTGAAGTCATATGAGACGGGTGGGGCATGTAGCATGCATGTGAGAGACGTGCATACAAAGTTTTGGTAGAAGGAGCTGAAGGAGTGAGGATATTAGGGAAACTGGCCGTAAATATAAGGATAACATTAAAACTTATCTGAGAAAAACCGGTGTTACGGTGCGCACTGGATCGTCCGTCTAAGGAGAGTGGCGTGTCCTTGGATGTCTTGACTGGCTGAACAAGTTTTAGCCCCTGACGAAGGACACTGCTGCATGGAATTAGTCACCTGCTTCCCGTTGTTTTGTACATTTCACGATACCACAGTACGAAAAATAAGGAAGGAATCTTTTAAAGCCCAGTGGTTACTATATGTACCACATTCTTTAACATTCTAAACCTCTGAATTCTGCCCACAGTGTTCTTTTATGTGTGTTTCGTACGGCTCTCACAACAAACATCGATTCTTTCCATAAACTGCATTAACCGGCTGGTCTCAGTAGCGGGGACGTAATATGTTTCCTGCGAGGTGCGAACTGAAGTATTATATAAAACTGTGAAGAAGTTCATTCTTTAAAGGTTAATGTGTTGTTAGGATGTTTTGAATGAGGCTAATGCCTGGGTCACTTGTAACTGTGTTTTCCATCTGTACAGGTCATGTAGCACGAATGTAATATCTTTATTAGTATTGAATTTGATGGTGTATGGCAACAACTCGACTTGGGTTCTTCTTCAACATACTATTCCATCATTTCCCAAGACAAACTGAGAAAATTCGCTAAAGCTTGTTTCAGGTAACTGGTCTCCAGGCTAAGATTCGAACAAAAGACCTTCAGAATCCGAAGCTAATCATTCAGTTGCTTGTTTGGTATTTAAATAAAAGCTTCCGATACACCTAGCATGTTATTTTGACGAAGTACATAGGAAACGCATGCAGAATTATGACGGGAAACCCCTTTGGAAAGAATTTAAATGCTCTAGTCGCATAAAGGAAAATACTGGGTTGTGGTGGTAGGTAGTGGATCCAACTGGCTCACAATTCGAAAAATCTACTCTTTAAGATTCACGGTTTTTAACGTTTACTTAATTGATTTGCGTTATTTTACTTACGGATACTGGGGCAAATGCAGTGCCCCAAAATCTTCAGCCATCGCGTCACTGCATTTACAGTCCCACTGGCAACGACTCCGGCGCATTTTCATGTAAATGCCTGTTACCGGAGGTGTTCAAACTATCCACAGACGAACATAACGGGACATGACGCCGGGTATTGCGACATTTCGGAGGAACATGTCGCTTGAAAATTCAGTGTCGAGCAGTAAGCTAAGGAAGAAACCAGCTTGAAGAAGGCAGCAAGCAGAGCGAACTACACGTTTTTATATCCCAGAAGGTTGAACTGTTCATAGCCACTGCAGTAAGAACTTCAAATCCTACCTAGTTACCAGCAAGCCTTTTATCGATCAAGATCTTAAATTTGAATGTGAATGTACACGCACTTCTCATGAAGAAACGGAAAATTTCAGTATATTCTAAAGACACCTCGCATTCGTTTGTGTTGATATTTGTAGGGCAGTATGACTCGTCATTAATTACCTGTAAAGTGTTAGGGAAAACCATCGAAGTTCATTTCATACATTCAGCTCAATTGTGCGCGGAATACCAACAGCAATATAAGTGTCTCCCTTAACATGGCGCTGAATTTTCCGAGCAACTTTTTGTCGTTCATGTTAAGCTCTGCTTCTTACTGCATTAAAACCTGTGCTCGTTTTGATTCTTGAGATACGAACTTCAGGTGTAATTAGGTGAGAGTCGAAACCCCACGTGATATTTGCTATTCTCTCTTAACTGTTGGGTCTCCATATTATGCCAAGAAGTACGTAAAAACAATTACATAAAACCAGAGATAACATGAAAAACACTCCGATTTACTGGGTTTTTCGACTTTTTCCATCGCCCGGTGTTCTATAAACCAGAAAACATAAGGTTTCGGAAACTGGATCTGTCCAGTGATTGAGGTTACCTCTTTCTAACGGGCCCAGCAGAGTAGGTGTCTCCCCCCTCATCTGAAGATGGAAACGCCCATTTTCCGAAACGTTCTGTTCTCTAGTTTTTAGAATAACGGGCTATGAACCAAGTCCAAAAACCCAGTAACTCAGTGATATACACCATCGTCAGAACCCTTTCAATTCTGCGCGAAAAAGACTGTCTTGTGGAGCATGCCGTGGTGTAGTGTGATAGATATATACTTCTGACATTTTGGAACATGGATACAGCACAGTCCCCTTTGATATGACACGTACCGCATAGAAAACGAAAAATTTGGGGACACACGGACGGTCCGTTGCCTATCTTACATAAAATGACACACACACACACACACACACACACACACAGACAGCAAGGTGATTACTTGAACCTAAAAACGCACAAAAAGCAAGGTGATAACGATATACACGTATTCAATATACAAGGTCTATAATATACACAAGAAATTCTTGGAAGGACTATTCGACGACTTTCCTTTGATACGACGCGGACGGCACAGAAAACGAAAGAACTAAGGCAGGGGTCTCCAAACTTTTCGAAACGCGGGCCACATTAGGTAATTCAGCACTTTCAACGGGCCGGATAAAATGAGAAATTAGTAACTCTAGGTATATGAGTTTTATTGAAAGCACAGAATTTCATAAACTAAATACAGAATCATCATCATCATCTGTAATCTGTCAAGACGACAGGTCCACAGTCTCTTCCAAAAGAGTTCCTCCACTTGATGCGATCTAGAGCTTTCTCCTTCAAATGAAAATATCCTCATCTGTCCCCAAGGTCATCCAGCATCTTCTTACGTCTTCTTCCTCGTCTTCTGGTCACTTCTATCCGCCCCTCTATCTTTCCTTCAATAACTTCTTTTAGAAGGCAGTTCCCGCGTAAGATATGACCAATCCAATTAGCCTTCCGTACAAAGTACGTGAGAATAAATTATCGTATATTAATGACAACAGATAGTAGCAGCAAATGCTCATATTTTCATCACAAATTATAATAAAACAATTAATGTGAATGATGGAACTCTTTTTGCATTCTTAAAATCTGATTAAATTGAAGTTCAAATTTTGAAACGCTAATCACAATTAGCGACTTTAAATGTTCATCGGATAAATTTGCACTGTATTTCGACTTGATGTACTTCATCTGGGAAAAAGTTTGTTCACACAGATATGTCGTCCCAAAAATGGAGATAAATTTACAAGCCGGCCGTCGTAGAATGGACTAAAGTTCCGGTAGCCTTAGCAACATTCCTCGCTACCAATTGTCGGAACAGTTAGAGCAAAACTGGGCATAAGTTGGCTTTAATACAAAAATGGTAATAAGTACGACACCGGCGGTGGTGAAGATCTGTTACAATTACACTGCACCACTGCAAGAAGTCTTGCGCACAAGACGGCTAGTAACGAACTGCTCGCGCTACCTACACTGCCACGAAGTGGCACTGCCGATCGAGGCCGAACAAGTACGAAGAAATACCGCGCAGTATACGGTCCAGAATTAGTAAAATTGTGAATAATATTAACATAATATGGAATATCAATATATTTTAAACAGAGTCTTAATTAATGAATTTGAAATCTATGAACAGGTATTTTTTTTACCAGTACTCATTGGAAAATTAGTTCAATTGGCGCATTTCTGCACAATTCTTTCGCGGGCCGGATGTGACCCGCGGGCCGTAGTTTGGAGACCCTTGAACTAAGGGAATATACAGACACAGACAGACAGAAAGGTGATCTGACAAGCCTCTTTTTATTTTTTCAAAATAAGATTAGGCTAAAATTTCGAATACGTCTTACAATTCATAACGTGAACAAACCCTGAAGCGTTCCTTGGAAATGGATATTCCGAGCTGGAAGAGGCGAAAGAACAAGAGGAAATAATTTAAAAATTACGGAACTAACAACATTTGTCCGTAAAACTACAACTTGCGGATCGCTGCTTATGCGGAAACGTATTGTGAGACTGCGGGTGAGGCTCCTACTGCTGACACTTCAGTACGTACATGTACGTGAGTGAACAACACTCATATCCCGCGCCTTCAACGTACTACTGGGTTGAGAAGGGTCCATCTGCAAGCTAGTTCATGAAGTCAGCCCTTGTATGCACATTTGGAGGCAGAAATTCTGAAACAAGACATTTACCGCAGGCCATGCTGAAGCGACAGTTATCCAGTGAAGAGGATGCGGATCATGACTGTGTTATTTACTCGCCGCCACAGGGAAAGTTGCGATGTTTACTTTCGCATACTCATTCCGTATTCATCACAAACGGAACTAGTGAGTGCCACCGCGTGTCTACGGCCGCTTCTTATCTTGAGCTGGAAATGCATCACGACTCACTGCAGTCGCCTGAAGGCATCTGGACGTGCAGATGCAAGGGGGGAGAACCAAACCACTGAGTCAGTAAGAAACGAAATGCTTAGTCAGTTTGATTTTTGTTTGTCTGTCACGATTTGTGAAGAATTTATAGAAATTGCAGGGGCACACATGTTGGCATCTGTTCTCACTGAAACACAGAAATCAAATATCTTTTCAGTTTCTGTGGATTCTACACGAGATGTGGCACATGTCGACAGGTTAACTTTTCATATAAATAATGCTGTTCTGTAGCCGCCCAGCATGGCCGGCTGTTGTTATAAACAACATTAATTAGAGCGATTAACATCTGTTTGCATGTGTTGGATGCAGAAGAGCGAGGATCCCATTCTTGCGCTCTTGTGGGCGACTTATGCCACTTCTTGCTGGGAAGGCCGTCAGCGTTCGCCGCCTTTCTTAGAATATTGTGAAGTTTCAAAACCTCAGCTTTTCTTTGAGAACCTGAGATTTGACAGCTTCATGCAATCATTCATTCTGAAGGAGGGGTTTCTTGAACCGACGCTTTCGGAATTTTTCATCAAGGACCTCTCTATCATGCCGTTGAGGGCTTAAGGTCGAGACTTCCCTGAGAAAGGCAGCTGATTGAGAAATGTAAAAATGTTGAGACCTCTTTGTTTTTAGGCGCCTGAAAATCCCTAAGAGCTGTGTAGAGAATATTTTTTATGTCCATGCGGAGAGGATTCATTCTTTTCTACTCCTAGGTCATCTTTGAAGGAACATGCAAGTAGGAACTTAACATGAATTATCTGTGTGCGACTACAGGAATATTTATAAGGACATAATCTGATACCCCCAGAAGACGAAAAGAATGTTCCATTTTCGCTAGTGAAAGCTGTGCTGGAAGATTGCATGGAGAGTAGAGGAGCTTCTCCAAGACCAGAAAGAGGAATCTAAAAACAGTTTTGTTATGGAAATTATCACACCTCGGATGGAGAGATGAGAAGGCCAAGCTGTAACCTGGACTGAGCCTAGGAGCCGTTTTCGGGTGTGAAGAATAAATCTGCAAGAATTGTGATGAATGTGTCAGATTCATTTGTGCATATTAAACTTGAGATCCCTACTTCCATTTCATTAAGGCCGTACTGTAGACATACTAAGATCTATGACAAAAATGTAAATAAGTTTGGTTGGTAATAGCCTGCCAGCTGAGTAAGATCGTGAACTTTATGCTTCTGTACGTATCATGAAGATCATAAAGACTGAATAAAATATTATAGCATGCAAAGAGCCGTTACTAGGTTACGGCACAGTGAACAACTTACCAGCGTAAAAATGATTGCACACGCAACAGAGGAACACGTTACGTCCGCGGTGACGTCACGCAACAAAAAGGAGAGCTGCGGGTAGCGGTGTTGCGACACGGTCTAGCACCGTGTGGACAGTGCCGCTGCTATGGAGCATGTGATACCACATCGCCCATAGCAACACAGTAAGAGTGTTTTCTGTTGGGTCTGCTCTGAGGCTGTATCACTCGACCGACCGAGTCAGACAGTGGAGTAGAATTGAGTTGAGAGTCGACAGTTGTGGGACAGTCGCCAGCCGGTAAGAACGTTAACATGGAAGCAGAAGACATCGTTGGAAGCCGTTACCAGACAACCGGTGAACACACAGCAGACTGAGAAAACTTAAGTGTGTACTGTAGTGAATTGCAGAGTGTGAATTAGCGATAGTGCTATAGTTACTTGTAGTTACAATCTGTAAGTGTTCAGTAAATCGAATTACCAATCCGAACCCCTTCTACAGTCACTCACGCACATGACAGTGTGAAATGCAGACTATTATGAGGGTATCAGGCAACAGATTACTTCATTACTGCGGAAAATAAATACGCAAAACACCATGACAAGATGGTTTACAGTTTCCTCTAGGAATTAAACCAGGGAACCTGCCTGTCCCGAACCGCTGTAAAAGCCATTCCTATTTCTGTCGTAGAATATGTCAAGCTTGTTGCAGTATGTGTATGTTTAATTTAATGGTTCTAAAAGACGGCAATGTTTAATTAATGTTTACTATATCTATGTTTTCTATATTCCCTTATCCTCTTCCAGAATGTCAGAAAGTCACAGATTTAGGCGACGAAGGATGTTCTCACTCGTGCGTGCTCTGTTCGCCACCCAACTCGTGGGATAATAAGTTTTCCTAGTACGCAAAATCCAGAACTTTGCCGCCACGCATTCACTGAAATGTCAAGATCACGGTTTTATTGCAGACATGTTCACATGGGATGGTCTTCTCGACATGGCAGAGGAGCCGCACCATCAGCGTGACAGTGACCCAAATGAAATAGTGAATAAGAGCTGCTCCTGCGACGGACCTTCCTGCAGTTGCTGCCTCGACTTCAACCTGTCTTTCATCGACCTGGGTGGTCCTGGTGAGTGTTGTCTTGCCTCTTGGCAAGCCGACTGTGAGAGATACCCAGTTTTCGAAGCAGTAGAGACTTCTATGCGTGGTACATCACAACATGAGATCACACACTACTATTGCAGTTACTACTTACTGGCCTCTAAGTAATTACGTGTATGAAGGTTGTGTTTAATGCTTAAATTCTGCTGCTAATAATAGAACATGTAACAGATTTACAGTGGCTGAATTGGATGCAATGTCTGTTAGATAATATCCAAAAATGGATCAATCAAAGAACAAAAAAAAAGATATGCAGATGCGTTAGAAAAAGTGATTTTATCAAGTAAGTTTTGTCCATTACCAAGAGGAGTCAGTGATGCAGTAGGCTTCCATTTTAGTCCTACTGCCGGAGTACATTGTAGGCATTTTAAAAGAAAAACTGAAGCCCTCGTAAGTGGTAGTGAGGGGGCAGATATGAAAGGAAATGCAGAGGAAACTACGGCGTAAGGACATGTTAATGTCTTAGCACAAGAATGCAGGACAAAACTAGCTGTAGCTGCGGGCATATGACACGCGTTGCGAGCCACTTACAGCCGTTCAGGCCCCGCGGTGTTAGCAACTAATATCGGTTAGATGGTAGAGTTTCGGCGCATGGAAGGCGCAGAGTTGGAAGCTTAGTTTGCCGCAACGTCCGCGGATGTAGCACTCACCTGCGCTGGGTTTGTTCTCACCTCCTTCCCTCCCGTGGGGGTTGATAGGATTGGTCAGGAAGGATGAAGGACTTGTCTGGGCGCCAGTATTCACCAGGCGGTAGTGGCTACAGATTTGTAGGATGCCTTGTAGTAAGTATATGTAGCTGGATGACTAGCTCAGGCTTGGGTCTGGTGGGGCAGGAGATATGTCCCTGGGTCTTAACGAGCCTTGTAGTAAGTAAATATAGCTGGATGACTAGCTCAGGCTTGGGTCTGGTAGGGAAGGAGATATGTCCCTGGGTCTTAACGAGTCTTGCTCTAGCAGGGCAGGAGGAACACTGAAGCACACATTTGCACACAGTGACAACAATGGCTGACACTTTATGGTTGATTTATTAAAGAACATTTACGGCGAATACACGTATAGTCACACTGATATGTAAATGACTACAGATTCACTTTAATAGCGTTAAACACGTTACAGCAGTTTTCAGGCTGAATTTATAGTCGAAAGTTACACTGTGATCCCTTAATAATTTAGTATGTGAGATAGTTCAGCAGGATGAACAGCATTTCTGTGGAGCGCGGATCTGGGGGCCGAATACTTCTGAAGTTGGAGCCAGAATGTTTTTGGAATTGATCCGGTCTGAAGCTGCGCGCTTCCCAGAGCCTCAGCCTCCACCAGTAGTTGGCTTCCTCAGACATGCCTCATTGGCCTACTTCAGAAACGAGGTCTCAAAATTCTACACTTCCCAACCACGTAGATTTGCTATGCGATTTTAGCCCTTAAGACACAATCGGCGCTTTTAACAGTTCCTTGATATCTACAATAAGCTTAGCGTGGGTATCAGGCCAACCTACTTCTCGTTTGTCGCTTGCCTTACCACAGCTCTGCTGTCAGCTAAAGTTTCTAGGAAAAGTTGCAGGTGGCTGCATCCTGCTCAGACAGAAAGAATAAGCCTATGTCGTGTTCTCAATGTTACCAGGTGACCATCTCCTTAATCCAAACTTACGATATATAGCTTACAGTTTAGTAGTCTTAACCAAATATTCACTGTAATGCGCCTAATTACAATGTGCGGTTACAGAGCAGAGCGTTTGAAAGTGCGGAAAAGTTAAGATATTTGGGTTCGATGCTAACAAATCGAACCACATTCGTGTAAAAATTATGAGAATATGAAATTCGGATAATATCTGCTGCTCTTCAGCTCAGGATCTTTTGTCTTCTCGCTTATCTAAGAATATGCCATAAGGACCTGAAATATACAAAACAAAAACTTTGCCTGTGCTTTTATATGATCCTGAAATTTGGTCTGTCACATTAAGGGAAGTATATAGACTATGGGTGTAGGAGAACGGGGTGTTCAGAATATTTGGACCGAAGGGGGAAGAAGAAATAAATGCCTGGTTGAACAGAATTTCATATTGAGGACCTAAACAACTATTGCTGTCTTACTGTTGTTCCATATGTGAGGTGCATCAGAGTAGAATTACGAGTAATATGAAAATGAAGGAAAGGTGCCGTTGAATGAAACAGGAATTCTGGTATTTACGTTTGGGAACAGGCTACTCTGAGGTCAGTGGTGCAGAAAGGGTCTGTCCTCTCAAAGGCCATTTCCTTATTACAATTTGCTGGACAATAAAATCTAAAGTTCTGCAGTTTTTCATATACATGTATCTTTTATATTCAGTTTTCTTCATATTGTGGCGTATACGCCAGTTGCTAAGCAGCGACTCTGTAAACAAAGGCCGTTGCTAGATAACGCCCGCAACAATAGAGCAGCGGGGTTATGCAACCCGTTTCTGAGCAACGGCTCGGTAAACACGTTCCCGCTGAAAGGAACACGCGTTAAACAATAGAAGAACGATGTCTTCGATGTGGTACGCGTCAAGGAGTCAATTAAGTTGACCAGTAAAGGTAAAACTATCCCTGTAACAGGCCGTGAAGGCCCATAGGGTTGTGAGATGTCGAAACTCCCACATTTTCTGTAGACACTCGGCTCACAGATGGTGGTGAGGTTATTATCTTTACGCGCCGGACGCCCCTACCCCCAGGAAGATTCCTGGTACCCATTTCTGTTAGAGACTGAGTCGACCCCAGGGCCATAGTGCAGCTGGGAAGATTAGGTAAGTTGAAAAAATCCAGTGACCTCATCGGAACTCGAACCCGCGACCTTCTGGCTGGTAGTATAGTGCCTCAACTAGCTACGCTGCCGTGTGCTCCTAAGTTGACCAGTTCGGTTTTCAATTGAAAGTCAGCCTGTGAAGAGAAGTCTTGGAGTTTCGTACGGGAGGCTGTGAAGAAAAGAGTTAGTTGCAAGAGTGCGGCTGTGAAAAGACTTTATGTGTGATATTTGGAATGTGTAATTCAGTGAGACTGTAATAGTTCCTGTGTTGTATCCGTTGCCAGGAAACGGCTATTGGAGACTATAATGGACTGAGGACACTAGTCTGTAAAGTGTAGTTCTGAGTGGTGTATATAAGTGGTCAATAAATTCAGTATCCAGTCCATAACCCGTCTATAGTCACACCCCTGAATACATGACAATACACTTAGAAATCCCCCTGATCATGTTCACAGGATGTGTTGAGATGAAGTATCTATCTCCAGCTGATGGAATAGCAGTCAATGTTTCCTACGGCAACAGGTTACTGCACAGAGAAGTTGTGAAAGGTGAGTAACACAAATAAATTTATAAACATATTAAGGCTCTAAAGTTCTGTTTAGATTCTGTCGTGATGTAGCTTATGCTACCATATCACTCTACTATCTGAGGACAAGCTCGGCCAAATGCTTCACGGCGGAATTATTGAGCCGACAAGACCATCACGTTAAACCCGTTAACGTTTGTTCCAAGAAATGGTAGACTTCCTAGATTTTACCTCAATACGTGTAAATCAAATTTGCTGGTCATCCCTGATAGATAAAGATGGGGCATATCAAGGAACTACTCCCAAGGTTCCACGGGACAAAATTTTTATCATCTTTACCGAAACTGTTAAGTAAATTAAATTAGGTTCCTACATGTGGATTCCCTTCGGCTTCCGAAACTGACAAAGTGGACTAATCAGGCCTTTCATAATGGTGCTGAGTGTGGACAGAGACGGCTATGCCATTGGCTATGTTGACGATGTGATCCTATACTCCAGATAGCTTTAGGAATACCTAGAACACCTCCAGATAATTCACGAAATTCACAATGGCAGGTTCACCTCGAACGTAGAAAATGAAAATTTCAGAATACTGTCAAATTTCCCATTCAAATTATTGACCAGTGTGACGTATCTCTGAATTCGGATGAGGGACTCTTCAGTATATAACCCGTAAAAATATTTGCCGTTCCCCATATTCACAGATGCCAGTGGATACACTATTGGTTTAGCACTCACTCGCACAGGGACGAGAAACAAAACAATTCGACGTCATTTCAAGAGTTAGTAGCATCTTCGCCCAGGTGAAAAGATGTAACATCACCTACGAACATAAATTGTTGGCTACAGTATGTGTCCTGCTGACGTTCCAGTTCTACATATATGGCCAGATAGCAAAGCTATGCACGGGCATCACGGCTCTTTCCTCATGCAATTCTCATGGACTGAATCAATGGGGAGTCTTCAAAAGTTTCATCAAGGAATCCAAAAATGTCCACCTTTTGGAACGGTGTAAAATTTTCTTCAATTTAAAACCATATGTTTTATTGATATCAGTAAATATTATCATGAGAAAATCTACCCCCATGGTTGGGACAAGGAAAGAGAGTTACCTTATACGTGCGCATTTTCTACCTGGGACGACTGATACCAGAAATAAATGATAGTATTTTGACTGCAACAAGTGCAGGAGATCGACAGGCTGAAATCCTCATGAAGTTTAAGGTCATTATCCCACTCTGCCTCAACATAACCGTAGGCTCGAGATTCAATCTTAATTGAAAATTAGGTCCAATCATGGGTGGGTAAACTTAGATGCTATTTTGGCTTAATGTGACAAATTTCACCCAAGTCCTTTATTATACTAGAAACAGTTCAGTTGCATTTGGCAGGTATGTGTCAGTCAAGTGGTGTCCAGTGGCTAAGCATAACTAAAATATTTCCCACTTGAGCCACCAGAAGGCTGTTCAGTTTTGTGCCTAAGACAGAGGAAAGCAATCAGTGCTCTGGAGTATCTGAGGTTCTCACAGCAGTGCTAGAGAACACCACCGTGTAGTTCATGGAAGGTCAACCATCGTTTTGGAGGAACTTGTCGCCCCCATCACAAGGTTGAAATGTAAGCCAATAAAGAAACGAGCATGAAGTTTAGCAGGCGGCAAACAAAGCATGGAACTCTTCTTGACCACTGTCTGTACATCGAACCAGGTAGAGTTAGTGCGATCGGTATGGTCAATTGCAATCCCGTCATATGGTACTTATACCACACACCAATTCTATAATCCCCCCTCCCCCATGCCACCTCAGTTATGTGTTGTTTGGCAGCCTTCCTAATCCTATCTTACCTACTGATTATCTTTGTACCTCATCACAACCTTTCTGTTGATCATGTGGTTTGCTCTCAAGGATGGCAAGATCAATGTATATAACATAGGACGGGATGTTGACAAAATATGATCAATGGCTAGTACATGTTTGTAATACTGATATGAAGATTAATTACTGGTGGTGTTTTAACTCAGAGAGGTCGTTTAGAACAAATTGTATGAGAGGATGATTACTATCATAGTAATTTCCCTAGAGCCTGAGGAAGACTGTAACCACCTGTTAGGATATCTTTTTAAAACACTTTCTATCATCAGGTGCAAACCCTGAGCCATCCTGCATAGACATGCTGTCAGATCTGGCACAGCTGTGCGCACGCTTCAGTGACCTTGCACCCACAAGTGATGGACTTCGCTGGTGCCTACAGCTGGAACCCACATTGCTAGGGGAGGTGCAGACGCAGTACCAGGTGGGCTGCTTCCGCATGGGCCCTGAAGGCATGTCAGTTGATCCTCCCATCACCAACACTACTTCACAGCCCAGGTATGGATATCGTTTTTATTTTGGCAACATGAATTAATATCAAAGAAAGAGAAATTGCCATGTTAAGTGGGCCACTTTTCACCATGGTACGGCGCGTCCTCAGGTTGCAGGTGGAGAAGACTTCCTCCAGATATGAACAGTAAAAGGTAAAGGTAAAGTTGTCCATGTACTTTATTAATTAGGCCCTATGCCATGAAGGTGTATGGAGGAGTTGATATAGATCCACATTTTCTTGACTTTGGCACTAGCTGGAGTTGAGTGGTCAGTTACATGCCTCTGCCACTTTAACTCCAGAGAAAGAGCCCCTGGTACCCATTTGATAGGAGGTTGGATGGACCCCAGAGCCAGTCTGGACAACGTGGAGAAGAGAAAATTCAAGTTACATTTAGCAGGAGTACAGGTCAGATAGTACAGGGGTGGCACCAAACCAACAGACGAATATATATATATATATATGTGTGTGTGTGTGTGTGTATTATTCTGGCCATCAACACAACAATGAAAATAAATCAATCAAACTGTTCAGGGTGGTTTTATTTAATAACTGTTACATTTTTATGAACACGCTGAAAAACTAATGTCATATTTACGAAAGCAGAAATGAAACTCTTGAATAAAGGTCTGAAATATAACCTACACTACAAACATAAAGACTCGATAAAGACCTTAGCAATAGATTCAGACAAAGCCATAAATAAAGTACATGAAAGAGATCAAAAGAATATGGAACAAAATAATAGACACCATAAAGAAAAATGCAGAAACTTTAATTGACCCTAGTAAAGAGGCTGGTATACAAGTAAATGCAAAGAAAACTAAGCACATGTTGCTGTCTTACCAGAGTGCAGGGCAAAATCATAGTACAAAGACAGCTAACAGATTCTTTGAAAATACAAGAAAGTTCAGTCATTTGAGAATGACGATAATAGATCAAAATTTGCTTCAGGAGGAAATTAAGATAAGATTGAACTCGGGTAATGCTTGCTACCATTCAGCTGAGAACTTTTCGTCTTCTTGTCTGCTGTCCAAAAAGCATAAAAATAAGAATATCAATAAGTATAATTTTGCCTGTTGTTTCTGTATGGCTGTGAAAATTGGACTTGACATTAAGGGATAAAGATAGAGTGAAGATGTCTGAGAACACGGTGTTGAGGAGAATATTTGGACTGAAGAGGGATGAAGTGACAGGAGGTTGGAGGAAACTGCATAATGAAAAGCTTCATAAGTTGTACTCTTCACCAAGAATAATCAGAATGATGAAGTCAAAGAGGATGAGATGGGCAGGGCATATAGCAGCCATGGGGAGAAGAATGCATACAGAATTTTGGTGGGAAATCCAGAAGAAAAGGGACCACTTGAAAGACCTAAATGCAGGTGGGAGGATAGTTTTAAGATTGATCGTAGAGAGATAAGATGGGATGATATGGACTGCACTGATCTGGCTCAGGATAGAGACCAGTAGCTCCGCAACCGGTGGCTTCTTTAGAAGGGCTCAGCTCCATGGAGTGAGAGACTTAGTTAGAATAACAAATTGCATGGCTATGGGTCCTTAAGAGCTGACAGTAACTCAGCGTGTCAGGTAATTCAAACATTTTAATCTTCTTCCTCTTTAAAAAGACACAGACAGAGGCAAGCAGATATGGAGAGACAGGCATGAAGCAAGATATGGCAAGCAGCTGTGGAGTGAGCATGGTAGAGACTGAAGGAGTCGGATGCAGGGACAGTGAGTCAAGGGTACACATTTTTCATGCAGACAGCAGCTGAGATAAGCATGGCGACTGACACAGGGACAGAGACGGGAAGACAGAGACATGGGTGGGAATGCAGGGAAAGACACTGACAGCCAACACTGAATAAGGTTTGTATGCAATGATATAGAAGGCATGGGGGACCCACCTGTATACCTCCTTGCTCATCAACTTGCACGTGTCACTGTGTGAATCGCGTATCTGACTCTGAGCCTCTGTCCCATTGTACATCTGATTTCTGTTCATTTTGCATTCCTATCTAGTTTCTATTGGAGGCACGCGGTAGCATAGTTGGTTGAGGCACTATGCTACAAGCCAGAAGGTCATGGTATCAAATCCTAATGCGGTGGATTTTTTCAATTTACCTAATCCTTCCAGCCACACTATAGCCATGGGGTCGACTCAGCTTCTAACAGAAATGAGTACCAGGAATATTCCTTGGGGTAAAGGGTGGCCTCACCGCCATCTGTGAGCCCATTGTCTAGAAAATGTGCGAGCCTCAAAATCTCACAACCCCATTGGCCTCCATGGCCTGTTATGGGGATACCTTTACTTTTTTTTTACTTTTATATAGTTTCTATTTCTGCCTTTTTGTCAGACTTGGTTTCCCATTTTCCTGCCTGCCTCCTGTTTATCTGTATCCCTACCTACATATATACTTTGTGTCTTGTCTCAGCCTCTCATAATGTGAGGTTGTGTCCCAGAAGAATGCTACTGTGTGTTTTAATTTTGGATATGTTCTCTTCTTGCCAGTCCAAGTGATGTCCACAGGAATCCCATTTATGGCATAATAACCATATTATGAAGCCTAATTCATAAGAAAGCATTCCAACTGCAGAGATAATTTTCAATGCAATTTAAGTTTTGGGGAGCAATATTTAATGCTACTGCTACTTGTATCATTTTTTGCAGCAGCACAGATCCATCTGCCGTTTCACCAAGTGGGGAGACTCAGGAAGAACTCAGTGAGGAGGCACTTATAGCTGCAGTCAACGAATCAGCAGAAGAAGGAATTGCATTTTTCACCAACCTCTTAGGAATTACTTTTGGTGGTGGAGAGGCATCTGCAAATGCCACAGATGCGAACAATACAACAGAAGTAACTACTCTGGATGAAGCAGCTGAACATACTCCACTTCCTTAAAATGGAAGATGCTGGTCTTACCAGCATCAAGTATTGAAACTGTTCTCGTGGTAAAATCTTCAGGTACAAATGAACTGTAATTTTATTTTACCTCTTTATATTTATGTAGCAAGTATTATTTAACTAAATTATTAAATGCTGTATTATTAAGGGTACTATCTTCTGGGATATAATACCGTGTAGTCCAATAAAAGTCAATTGACTTTTATTGGACTACATGGTATTATATCCCAGAAGATAGTACTCTTCATAACCACCGCTGTGAGAACCTCAAATCCTACATTGTGATTGTGTGTTATTTGTAATCTTCCACAGTTGACAGCTGCAACAACACACACCTGCTCACTTTCTCTCTCTCTTCTTTGCTCACTCTGCTTCTGTTAGCTGGATATGCTGACGTGTAGTTCCAGTGTGGCAAAGTGGACTCAACATTTTTATCGTTGTTTTCTTGTTGCTGTTTTATTTGTGAATATACGTCAGATTCATAGTTTTAATGAGACATATCAGTAAAATCAGATTATTCAGTATCACGTGTTATGACTATTAATTCAACTGAGACATGTTCATTATTGCCAAAACCCGACACTAGCATCACGCCTACCTCACACATTTGTGAGATAACCAAACTGATATTGTTGACAGTAGGAAATTACAAAGTAAGCAGTTTAGGTGACCTCTGGTACCATAATGTTCCTACCAACTGAACTATTGTGAACTGTCAACTCACTATAGTGCCACTTCTTCTCAGCCTCCCTTGAAGACCTCAACCGAACTCTCTAACTCACCAACCAACTACTTCACTTCACTCACCTGTCCTGGGGTCCTAACTATATAGCCTTGGCGCAGACCCAACAGAAAACACTACCTCCAGCAATCCCTCTATTATTAAGGGCAGTTGCATAGCAATAGCTCACATATTGTTAACTTATTTACCGGCCATTACCAAGCAACAGCTGCTGTTCACAAAGTCACTTCTGCAACTGGTTTATGCTGTGCTTGATTTACACATCATATCTTGTGGTTGTGCTAGTGTTTGGAGATAAGGACTAGGTCAATCCATTGGACCCAACTGAGTAGGTTCCACCTGAAGACAGAGTCAGAATCCAGTCTCCAGTCTCCAAAAGGTTGCATGTTCTCTTAAATAAAAGGACAGTAATTGAATATGTTCTTTGCACCTCAGTGGAGGATATATATATATATATATATATGCCTTGCCTTCACATTGAGTTTTGAACCACCAGATGTGCAACAAAACAAGAATCGGAGACTAGTTACTCTTTTCTGTCTCTCCTGACCCCACTGGCCACCAATCTGTCTTTGAATGGGTGTATCCAAGTTCGCTGGTAGCAGATATAATTGGAAATATGTGCAGACTTCCAGCTTTCTCTAAAAACTACTTTTGCTCAGCAGTGACACCCAACTGGCTTATGCAGACTGTGTAATCAGCCAACTGGAGATGAATTCTTGTGTGTATGAATATCACCAGTTCAAATCTTTCTGGAGATAATCAGTGCTCTTACAAAATACTCTTGTCTTCAGATAATTTTCACCTCATCAGAGCCAGAAATAATCTGGGTACCTTTCATTTAAAATTCCGAATTAGTTGCCAGAGTTACCATTTTCACATTCTAGTGCATTAATCTTCAACAGATGCAAATTACAAGTCATATTTTGAAATCTAAAGCATTCTAAACACATTCTGAGTACTACAGAATGTTTGTAATATTATTAAAAGTCTAATATTACACCTTGCTTGTGCAGATAAGTTGTAGGCAATGAAGTGAATCAAGTGTATTTTACTGTAGACTAATGGAACAGCTTTTATATATACTCTTAGAGTTCCCAGTTGCTAAAGTTTTTATCATCATAAAAACTGAGAGTGAGTCATGTTCTCTAGGAGCGAATCATCCAAATTAGCACTAGTTGGCATCAAAACAATCACTGATATTCTTTTACTGTAGTAATAACTGCTGGCACCCAACTACTTAATCTGTTCCTGACTGCAGTCCACTAAACCATTCTTTCAATGAACCCTACAGTTCAGAGGTTACAACACAAGGAGTAGATGTAGGGTCACCCATGCCGACAGGTATGAAGGGTAGGAGCAAGAGGCCCTGTTCCTCCGGGACGGGAGCTCGACATGAGCCTGAAAAACTCACCTCACAAAACAACATATATTAGAATAAGAAGTTCTAGGAAGAACTAATCACCTACTTTCCTTTCACTGCAATTTTAATATCTGATACAATAAATTGGATGAAAACTTCAGGACGTATGCATAATGAATTTAAAAAAAGCAATACAATTTGAGAGGCTGCAGTGTTCGTATTACTGATGGAAGTGATTTATGAGGTACAACACTGAGATGACCTCAAATGACATGATATGCATACCAAGTTTCATGAAGGCTGGTTTAGGCATTCAGGTAGTATTAATGTTATTACCTCAACAGTCAAAGAGGTTGCCATGTTGGTATTACTACTATTGAGACGGATTTCTTATGTACACCCTTCAGATGGAGAGCTGGGGTAGGGTAGTCTGCCAAGGCCGCACCATAGCTCAAGTGGTTAGTCACTGCCTTCCCACTGCGTCAGCCCGGGTTCAATCCCGGGTCTGGTCAAGTGGGATTTGTGGTGGACAAAGCGGGTTTTCTCCAAATACTTCGGTTTCCCCTGCCAATCTTCATTCCACCAAATTCTCCATCATAATCACCCGGGGTAGGTACAATAGGCCAATCAGTGGCCACCGTGCCAAGTGGACCCAATTGGACTTCACCCCCCACTAAGCGAATAGTGACTGCCTATGGGCTGGACAACCAAGGGGTCAGAGTTCAAGTCCTGGTGGGGTCAGAATTTTCTCTTCTCCATATCATCCAGACCGGCTCTGGGGCTCTTTCCCCGGGGGTAAAGCTGCAGGGGAGCGAAGCTGACCAGTCACCTCCAGCTAGTGCCGAGGTAAAGAAAACATGGATCAATACATCCACTCCCCCATGTGCCTTCATGGCGTAGTGCTTAATTAATTAAGCACAGGGACAACTTTACCTTTTTACCCTTGAAATGGTCTCAGGTGGCATGACACACATACCAAATCTCATGATGATCAGTCCAAGCATACAAGTAATATCAAGGGTATGATCTCAACAGTCTGAGAGGCTATCACGTTGGTATGACAGGGGAGATGGATTTATGGTGTATGCCACTAAGACGGCCTCAAGTGGCATGATATAGGCATACCAGGTTACATGAAGATCAGTACAGGTGTTCAAGCAATATTAAGGTTTTGCATCAGAAATTTGAGAGGCTGTAGTGTTGGTACTACTGAAGGAAGGGACTTATAAATTATGCCACTTAGACTGGATCAGCTGCCATGATATACATACCAAGTTTAATGATGATTGGTTCAGGCATTCAAAAGTCAATAGGGGAGGACACACACACAGCAAGGTGATCTCACAAGCCAGATTTTATTTTTTCAGAATAAGGGAAGTGGGTTAAATCTAGTGACTGAAGCAACATGAGATAATAATGGGCATGTCGTCAAGGAGGCTAAGCTTTGTAAAGGTCCGCAGAGTCAAGATTTTAGTTCAAATAAATGGCATTCTCATGCAATAATGGTTATCCAAAATGTTGATTGAAAATATATTTTTCTACATATTCTGAAGTATAAAAAATAAGAAACATTACATAAAATATAGGTACACTGCAGTATGAATATTCAAATTACAGTTACCACATATCAAAAATACAAGTCTACTTCTAACTTAAACATTTCTGTTCTCAGCACATGGTCACTATCTGTAGCTTCAACCCAATGCAGAACACTTCTGATGACTGGAGTAGATTTCATGCTCCTTCAGCCCAGAAATTTTGTCTATTACAATTTAAAGTAGTATACTGCACTATTTTCTTTCATGTCAGCAGCCAATTCTCTATATACACAATGCTTTGGCAATTCATTATACTTCCATCTTGGTTGGAATAACAGGTTTAAAGTCGTATCAACTTCAGTGGTTATTCATAGCAATTAACACACTAAAAAAATAAAATCAATTTCAACGATCCCAAGTGAATAATATTGTTACGATAAATGATACAAACTCCGTCCCAAGTGCAAACAATATATATTATATGTCCTTGATCTTGTTCTCTTCTACACTACATGTTTCGGCCTCTATTGGCCATCATCAGGTGTATACTCTTAACGTTGCTGCCACACTGAACCCAGTCTAAAATTTAACATTTAAAAACACATTGTTATTTTCTTTGTATTATCAACATCTACCTCGTTGATATGTGTCTGGTATGTAGATTATATTGCACACGTCAAATTTGATTTTGCTGTAGTAGCACTATAAAATCTTTAGTTATGATTTTAAAATCATAACTAAAGATTTTATCAACATCTACCTCGTTGATGTGTGTCTGGTATGTAGATTATATTGCAATATAATCTACATACCAGACACATATCAACGAGGTAGATGTTGATAATACGAAGAAAATAACAATGTGTTTTTAAATGTTAAATTTCAGACTGGGTTCAGTGTGGCAGCAACGTTAAGAGTATACACCTGATGATGGCCGATAGAGGCCGAAACATGTAGTGTAGAAGAGAACAAGATCAAGGACATATAATATATATTGTTTGCACTTGGGACAGAGTTTGTATCATTTATCGTGTAGAGTGCAACAGGATGCTTAAATATAATATTGAATAATATTGTGTTAGATTTCCTCCATTTACTATCTTTCCCTACTTCATATTCAAATCCACAGCTCCAAAAGGAACCTGAAATGGCTGTTACATTGTATGCACTACATTAACGGGAATGATCTACGTAATCTTCCTCTTCTTCCTTTGCCTATATAAGATATTTATATAATATTTCTTGTTCAAAAACAGTATATTCTACAAATACAGCTCACATTTTGTGGGAGACATGTTCTGTGGCCCCAGCAATTCCAAAGCCGGTAATATGAAACGTGGGACTCTTTATCAGGTAGTAGTGATTTACATTTTGTATACTCCATGTTCACTCTCTCACTCACTCATGGAGCTGGGCCCTTCTCAAGAAGCTGCCAATTGTGCAGCTACTCAAGAACTTCCCAACATTTTATGGAACCCGAAGGTTCATTACTGTGTTCACAATAGCCCTCCACTGGTTTCTATCCTGAGCCAGATCACTCCAGTCCATAGCACCCAATCCTACCTAAGATCCATTTTACTACGTAGCACGTCCACAAAGTAAGTTTCCCACTCATCCCACAGCTAGCAAACCTTATATTGCGCGAAGTGACTGCGCGTACGTGATAGAGCAATGACGTAGCATGGCGCATGCACAAACGGAATTTCCCGCGTTCCCACAGTAGCATCGTTGCAGCTGTTGAAGATGGAGGCTCTTATTCCAACTCCCGCCGACTGTGAAGTGCGGTCGGTGATAAAGTTTTTCAATGCACAGAGCATAGCACCGATCGAAATTCATCGTCAGCTGTGCTGGGTCTATGGGCCTAACGTCATGAGTAAGCAGATGGTGCGTCGCTGGTGCAGACAGTTTTCAGCAGGTCGACAAAGTGTGCATGATGAGAAGCGCAGTGGGCGGCCATCCATCATTACGGACGACCTGGTGGAGCTTGTGTGGGAACGCATTATGGAGAATCGTCATGTCACAATCACGGAACTCAGCAGTCATGTCCCGCAGATTTCCCGCTCCTTGTTGCACGAAATTGTCATGGAGCATCTGTTGTTCAGGAAATTGTGCACCAGGTGGGTGCCGAAGCAACTGACACCAGAACACAACAAAGCGCATGGAGTCAGCATTGACATTTCTGCAGCAGTAACATGATGACGGCGACAAGTTTCTGGACTGGATCATCACAGGTGATGAAACGTGGATTGCACACATTACCCCAGAAACCAAGCAGCAGTCAATGCACTGGCGTCACAGTGGATCTCCCTGCAAGACAAAATTCAAGCAGACGTTGTCGGTGCGGAAAGTGATGTGCATGGTATTCTGGGACAGACGGGGCATTCTCCATGTCGACTTCCTGACCAGAGGTGAGACGGTGAATGCTGAGCATTACTGTGAAACACCGCAGAAATCGCGACAGGCCATTCAGAACAAGCGGCGCAGGATGCTTAGTGCCGGTATTGTCTTCCTGCACGATAACGCTAGGCCGCACACAGCTCGACGGACAGCAAGTCTCCTGCAGGAGTTCAACTGGGAGGTGTTTAATCATCCACCCTACAGCCTGGACCTCGCTCCCAGTGATTTCCATCTTTTCCTACACCTCAAGAAATTCCTGTCCGGTGAGCGTCAGCGTTTTGAGAATGACAGGCGGAGATGGTTGTCACACAGTGGTTCCAGTCCCAGGCGGCAGACTTCTATGACACAGGTATTCAAAAGTTGGTCCCACGGTATGACAAATATTTCAATTCCGGTGGCGATTATGTTGGAAAATAGCTGAACACTTGCTGTATCTGTTGCAATAAATATTTCCATGAAATTGTGTTTTGTTTCCGTAAACGGCCCCAGGGAAACTTACTTTGTGGACGAGCCTCATATGATCTGCCCATATACATATTAGTTTTCCTAGTGGTGTCTTTCCCACCCAATATCCTATATGCATTCCTCGTCTCCCCCATTTGTGCTACATGCCCTGCCCACCTCATCCTCCTTAACTTTATCATTCTAATTATACTTGAAGAAGAGTACAAGTTATGAAGCTCCTCATTATGCAGTTTTCTCCAACCTCCTGTTACTTCATCTCTCTTTGGTCCAAATATTATCCTCATCACCATTGTCAAACACCAGGAAAAGACACTCTGCCATCTGGTAAATTTTAAATGAACAGTAACACTGCATAACAGTGAATCTAGGCGTAATAATCCTCCATGTCCTTGGGTTGTTCATGGAGGAGACAGGCCACCGGATCTAAAGGGTAGCTGTGAAAATATTGAATATGTGGTTGTGAACAGCCAACAAAAGATGATACTCCAGCTTGGTGGTTGCATATGAGGCAAAAGTCTGTTACAAAATGTTACACTGGACCTCAGGCTTGGAAAGATTCTTACAGTAGTCCAATGATTGTACAAGGAATAAAGACAAGACAAGTACTGGGACCAATATGGCAGTGTGATGCCATTTGCAATGTTGGTCATAGACATACTTGTACCGTGGAGGCCCCCTCAGAGCAGAACAAATGGCAGAATGACTGTAAGCTTCTCAACCGTAGCAATTATAAGGGGGGAACAATGTGACATGATGCTAAAGTCAGAATTTTGGAGCCAATGAGGTACTGCAGAAGCGTCCATTACTACAGAACGGAACATCGGTCATCAATGAATCTATATAAATGGGGCCAGCAAGACCAAAAGCTGGAGCCTATCAACAACAGAAATATCATGGGCAAACCCCATTGTTGGAGGTTGACGGAGCTGACTAATAGACTTGAAAAGTGATGCAGTTATTTGTAGAATGTGAAGAGTACATGGATAATTTCAGTAAAGAACTACAAGAAGCTCATAAAGACATTAAATTACATCTTACAACTCAGAATATGTTCAGTTTATTCAAGAGAGGAAAATTGTGACCGGGAAGAAAGCTGAAAGTGAAGAGATGGAGGTAAAAGGATATAAAAGAGAAAAACATGTCATTAAAGAGTTCAAAGTTCTTTGAGGACTTCAGAGTTAAGAAGTGATGTGAACTTCAATGTTATCCTGACAGAATAAGATTCTTAATTGCTCTGTGCATGTAGTGAAGCTATCAAGCTCAGTCATATTCTGCTGCATATACTTACTCAATTCTTACTAGTTCAGAGTTAGTCTAAATTAGTTTATTATATTAAGCAGTGTACTAAATGCACTTACATTAAACTCATCAGCAAGATTCTATCGCACTTGTTTTGTTAGGAGGTCAAAGTGAGCTTGCAGCTCTGCTTGGTGTTTCTTCTCTCCTTCAAAAAAAGAGTGGAGCTTTTTCACTTGATCATCTAAAACATTTTCAAGTTGGCACACATGCATACGCCCAGCTGACACTTCTCTCTTCAATTGATCCACTTCAACTTCTTTACTATTTACAAAATCCTCAAGTTGTTTTCTTCTTTTGATCTTCTCTTTCATGTCAAATGATCGGACATGTTCTGTGGGGTTCCCAGGTGGTCTCCTATGCGGCAGACAGAACACAGCATGCAGCAAAATAATGAAGATGACAAATAGTGTCTTCTGGGATGTAACAACATGTAGTCAGGAAGTTCACTGATGCTCCAGATGAAGAGTAAGCCAAAGGAAAAGTGGCGCTGGGGCAGGTTTTCTCCGAGTACTTCGGTTTCCCCTGCCAGTCTTCATTCCACCAATTGCTCCACAATCACCCTCACCTATCATCTGGGGCTGGTACAATAGGCCAGAAGTGGCCGCAGTACAAGGGACTTAGTCCCACCGCACTAGCAATAAAAGAAGCCAAAGGAAATATCCAGCAAGATGAACTTCTCTGAGATGATATGGTATTACATCCCAGAGGATGGTTCTCTTCATAGCCATTTCTGTGACAACTTCAAGCAGAAGTAGCTCAGTAGTATAGTGACCCTATAGACAGTATGGGAAGAGGGAAATACACATATTTAAAATATCATATAAAAGAAACTTGGAAGTTATATATATTTTAAGCAATACCAAGATCCTAATGTACCTACTGTACAATGTGGACCAAATTTACCGTACTAAAAATGTCATATGTCACAGACTTTTTTTTGTACAAGGTTGCTTACTCAAGGTGTGATATACAAGGGCTATTCAGAAAGTAACCACCATTTATTTTAGGCAACTAATGTAGGAGCCAGGGGGGAGAGGGAGGACTCAGGCATGTGAGCTAGCATCACATGACTCATTGCCTTGTAAACTATCATATAATTGGTCACCTTGTGTTTGTTCCTATTGCTACATAGTGAGTTATGCTGGGTTCTGCCATTGATAATCCCGCCAGTTGCCAAATTCGCACTGTTATCCAATGTGATGAAGGAAGGATCTGTAAGACAGTGGTGTTCATGATGAAGAGTGAAGTGGTCAACCATGTATAGTAAGTGAAGATCTTGTTCAAAGTGTTGACCAAAAACTTTGTGAAAGATGGCGCTTCACAAAGTCAGTACTTCCATGTGAATTTCCACAAATTTTATGCACTCTTCTCTAGGAGATTATCACAGTTAGGCTAGGCTATCACAAGTTCTGCATAAGATGGGTTCTGAAAATGCTCATGGGTGCCCACAAAACACAGAATGGCTTTTTAGAGCACTACCACAAAGATGACAATGAATTTCTCAGTCACACTGTACGAGAAACAGGTGATGAAACTTGTGTTTCATTTGTGACTGCTGAAACCAAGGAGCAGTCAAAGCAGTGGATGCACACACATTCACCAACTGATAGCAACTGTTTTCTGGAAAAGGAAAGGATTGCTGATGGTGGATGAAATTCATGCACCAAGGAATTACAATAACATCACAAGTGTATTGCACATGAAATGCTAAAAAACTGCAGTAGGGCCATCCAGAACAAAAGACACGGAATGCTGACATCCAGTGTGGTGCTACTTCATGCTAATGCACTTCCACATTAAGCTGCTTGCACTCAAGCACTGCAGCAGCATTTCAACTGGGAGCTTGCTTCCAAGCAACTACCACCTGTTTATCTATCTGAAGAACTGGTTGAGATCACAGAGCTTCAACAATAACGAGTTGATAGAGGGTGTCAAAACGTGGCTGATTTCATAGGCACATACTTATTCCCTGATACAACAAGTGCCTCAATTCTGGTAGTGACTATGATGAGAAGTAGCTTACCTATGTATGTATATTTCATATTATAATAGCAGTTTTCTTCTTGTAGCTTCTTTTTCTGACAGCTCACCAGAGGTTACTTTCCAAATAGCCCTCTCATACCACCAAAGATGTTTTCGACCAACTTTACACTCGGCTGTGAGCTACAAAAGAACACAAAATTACCATGCTATTGTACCATTGTCCTCTTGACATTCTTCAATAATTCTTGCCCGCTCCTTTAGCTTTCCATCCAGGTTTTCTTCAATGATAATTTCATTCAACTCCCTTAACATTCCATCAAGTGCAGTAGTCTGCCATATTTTGTAGAGATGCCTTGTCCGTGACTGTCTTCCCTGCAGTGCTGCACCATATATCTCTTCAAACTTATCTATACTAAAAAGGGGAAAGAATATATGTTACAACTTCTCCAAGTTCTGGGGACCTTGTGATCTCAGGCTATGCTGTTGTTCTGAGTTATCAAATCTATGTACAAATGTTTCTGCATGCAGATTGCAACCTTCATATCTATTAAAGAGAAACTTTGGGACTGTGAGGAATATCAGCNCCCCCCCCCCCATGTTGTCCAGTGCCCACATTAAGTCGTAGGTCCCCTCTATCATCATCACCTTTACAATCACCCTGCCAATGAAGGTAACCAAACATGGCCTATGGATGGCCTCACTTCAGAAATGGTTTCTATGCTTTTGTTTTGGTGGGTTGGGACCATAAATGTCAACACAGATCATTTCAGGAGTTACAAGACGAACAGAGTTCCAATTATTTGATTTTCAGACATCTTCTATTTTGCTGGAATAACTGTTTCCACGCACCTCACTTAATGAACCTCAGTCTTATACATATGGGGGTGGGGGAGAAGACACTCCACTCAAGTTTTTTCATCAAGAACAGATTTCAATTTGTGATTCCATCTGAAAACGTGAACTCATTTCCTGTGAATAAGGTACGGTTACAGTAATTATCAGCTGATACTATGTGGTATCATCTAACGCTGTTTCCCCCCCCCCCTTTATGTAGCACATAAACTTTAATCATAGCTTGATATCACCAGAACCAGCTCAATGTTACCAGTAAAGAAATTCTCTTATATGTTAGCATCTGAAGAGATACATACATTGTCATTAATAGATCTGCCACATCATATGGAACCCATGATTTATATTATTCATCCTTTCAGATTAAACTAGAAGCTAGCTCTGGCTTCATATAATATCATTCCTGGTCTTCCCAAATTTCTCCCACCTTCCGGAGTAAATTTCATTACAGTTACAAAAGGTGTGGGATGACAAGCATGACACAAGAACCATCAGGCCGGGACAAGTGCAATTTGATCAAATACCACAAATTTGCCCAAGTCACAGCCTAAATGTTACTTGCTATAATCTCTGATGCAGCAACACCACAACACTTGCATATTTCAAGTGTTAATCTGCCAACTACATATCATTAGCATTACCTAATGCCATGGACCAGAGCCCTTCTTGAGATGTTAACAACCATTCAGCTGAAGAAAGTCGTCTTCTGGGTTTAGGCACCGTGTATTCTTCGTTTCGGCCGACGTTTCGGAGGAACGTAGCGCCTCCATCTTCAGAGCAGTTGAATGGCTTGGAATGCGGAGAGCAGTAGCTGTAGTGATAGGATGTGAAAGTCGCTGCTTATATATGCAGCTTATATAAGCAGCGACTTTCACATCCTATCACTACAGCTACTGCTCTCCGCATTCCAAGCCATTCAACTGCTCTGAAGATGGAGGCGCTACGTTCCTCCGAAACGTCGGCCGAAACGAAGAATACACGGTGCCTAAACCCAGAAGACGACTTTCTTCATTGTCATCGCCGTGAAAATCTCAAAACTTACAAACCATTCAGCTGTTCAAGAAACTTCATTATCACATTCACAAGAGCCTGCCACTGATCACTATCCTTAGCTACAAGAATCCAGTCCACAACTGAGTATTCTGAATGTTCTCTTCAGATTTTTCAATTGAAATTCTGTATGCATTTTTTTCTCTCACATGTCCTACATGCCCCACCTATCTCAGCCTGCCAGACTTGCTCCTCTAACAACATTTGCTGAAAACTAATAATTATGATGCTGCTCATTAATTTCCTCCCTCTTAGGTTCAAATATTCTCTTGAGCACCTTCTCCTCCTACACCCTCAATCTATGTTGAGAGACAAAGTTTCACACCGCAGCCTAGTAAAGTGAAACAAAGATTTTTCCTGTTGACTTTCATTTTGTGGTTTATTTTATGACTCTGTCAGTATCTCAAACTATAGAGAATGATGAGTTGGAGAGGATGTAGAAGGAAGCACTCATGCCCTAACATGAGGTACTTCCTTCGAGGGACTCAGAAAAACCACAAAAAGTCAAACCAGACAGCTGGCAGGCTGCCAGGATTCATACTGACCACCTCCTAAGTATTCTGAAAGGACAGGAAATCTATGATGAATGTTGAAAATCTACTGCAATTTGTCCCAAAATTTTGGAACTGAAGCAGATGCCTCTTCAAGCTTTGAATATCACATAAAAAAAAACAGGAGATCTGAACAACTTTAAAACTGAACAGATTCACGCTGTTTCTTCTTCAAACAAGAATCTGGGGTCAGAAGAGTTGGCACCTTCCATTAAAAGTTATCATACAGGAAGAACCCAAATGAAAAATATAAGAATATCAAAGGAGCCTTGAAAATCAAATATTCATTTCAACAAATTCCAGTCATAGTGACAGCTCAAGTGAAGGTAAAATAATGGCATACTTGCAGGAAAAATTTCACATAACAGCAAAAAAGAGTGAAAAGATTCACATTTTGACAGTTCTTCCTAGATGATCAATTAGGGAACTGACAAGAGTTCAAAGCCTCAAATTACATGGTTTAAGCTATCAAAGCAGGTGGCTAAAAATGAATTCTGTCAAGCCCAAACGTAAAACCTGCAACAGTTGAAATGGTGAAAGAATTAGGGTATCTGATGAAATATGCGGGATAATGCCAGGCACAAAAGATTATGTTTCTTTTATGCTAACTAAAATGCGAAAAGGTTATTCTTGAAAACCTACTGGCATTGTGTAACCTAAAAAAAGTCTACTTATACTTTAAGGATCATAATCCTGAAAAACTATGGCTTTTCAAAGTCTCCAAAGTTCTGGCTGAGGCTTGCAGTGGCGTAATTGATTGAGGCACTATGCTACAAGCCGAAAGGTTGATTTGATTCCAGCTGAAGTCATTGGATTTTTCAATTGACCTAATCCTTCCAGCAACACCATGGTCCTTGGGTCAACTCAGCCTCACTGCCACCTGTGTCTAGGAAGTGTGGTAGCCTCAAAATCTCACAACCTTACAGGCTCCATGGCCAGTTACAGGGACAACTTTACTCTCTTTTTTTTAACCTTTAAGCAGAATTACAGCCAGAAGACTGTGTGCTGGTTGAAGCAAGTGGCATGCAAAATTGTATGATCTGACTACATAGCAAGTAAAATAATTATGACATTTGTCCAAAATTATTCATAATTTGTCAGGTGGCAGGTGCTACTGGGAAGTCTATGAGATGTGTTCACGGAATGAGAACCTAATCAGACACACTGAACAAGAGCTGACGACAATAATAAGGGTAATATAACCTATAAGCAGTAAATAACTACTGACAGATCAACTCTGGAAAATACTGTACAATCTTGCAGTGACTTTCGCAGGTCTTCTGCTGATAAGTTAAACATCCTGGTTCACCACTCTTGTAAGGCATGACAGCAATCATGTTCCTATAAAGCACTGTAGTTAAAACTTTCCGAGCCCACATAACCTTTCTCACCTCACACAAGCCACAATTTTTTCGAAAATGCCTCGCATTCGGACACGAAACAGTTGAATATCCTTTCCTTCCAACTGGGTGTTTTGTAAACTTTGCACGTCTGTCATAATCAACGTTATGTTACCGTAACGCGAAATACATATACCACAAACATAAGCTTAATCCAAATTTCATACACAAAGAACTTGTCTTCACACCACAGCCTTCTCGATCGTTCTCGATTTTTTCAGCGGGCCTCTTGACGCTCTTGACATCGTACGTGGAGACACTTTCAGACTATTTATCTAAGCAGTACAATTGATCGCAAAAGATTGCAATAGATGTCGCAAGAAGGAGTCTTGCTGATAGACTGGACAGGTTTGCATCCCGAAAGCCCTCCCCCTTGCTTTTTTTTTTCCCCCTCGTAACAGCATCCAGACCGGCTCTAGAGTCGACCGAGGCTCCAATCTGATGGGTACCGGGGGTAAAGCAGCCGGGGAGTGCTGACATGCTCCATGGAGCCGTAATTAATAGTTGAGCCTAGTCTGCGCGCAAAGACCTAGTGCGATAGTAGTTACCAGTCTTCCCGAGCGAGCTTTCGACAGTGGAGCAAGTCATTTCCGGCAGTATCCCGATCTCAGACGATAGATGGCAGTGTAATGCCATCACGGCACGGCGGCCAAGTGGTCAGCCCATAACGTTGAGGTACACACCACAGTATCGACATCATCGACATTATCCATGTCGTCAACCAATTGAAATATAGCGCGCTTGTTTGGCCGTATTGGAATTGTACAGAGTGCGAAGTTTACTTTGACGCCGGAAAAGATCTAATTGGTTTCATGGTTGTATTTACATACATGTTTCTTTGAATAAATTATTCTTATTGTACTCCATATGGGTGAAACATATTTGTTACAACCATTCAACGACAGTAAGTACAGTTTCAATTTTGGGGTTGTCGGTTATTCTGGGCGGGAACATTGTGGTATTTGGAATCACGATTATTAGAACCGTGTTTCCAAATAATAGCAGTCCAGGTTTTAGATATATAAAGAACATAACAAATGTACCATGATGATCGTTAAGTTACTCGTGTTAGTCGAATACAAAACGCCTTATCCTTGGACAACTAACTTTTTTAAGCCCACATTTTCTTTCATTTTATAGTTTGTGTCTTGAACGTCTTTATGCAAGAAAAATTCAAGAGTAGTAAAATTTCAAGGATGCCCTAACAAGTTTTAACCTTAAATTGTGGATGTCCGAGAATAAATAGCTAAGGAGAGTATTTTGTCATAAGAAAGGAAGCACTTAAAATAATTCAGGTTATCAGATTTGAATGGATGGGACATGTGACATATATGAGGGCTATATGAAATTCATACAGAAAGTCTGAAGGAAAGTACGAAAGTGTAATTTGGGAGGCCTAGGTATAGATAGGAATATAATATGGATGTTANACATCTGGAAAGTTTCAAAATGTGGTGTTGGAGAAGAATGGAGAAGATCAGTTGGACCGATTATGTGAGAAATGAAGAAGTGTTAATTAGAGTCAGTGAGCAGAGGAATATCCTACATGAAATAAGAAAACGGAAGGCTAATTGGATTGGTCATGTTTTACGCAGAAACTGCCTTCTAAAAGAAGCTATCGAAGGAAAGATAGATGGGCGGATAGAAGTGACAAGAAGACGAGGAAGAAGACGTAAGAAGATGCTGGATGACCCTGGGGACAGAAGAGGATACTGTCATTTGAAGGAGAAAGCTCTAGATCGCATTAAGTGGAGGAATTGTTTTGAAAGAGACTGTGGACCTGTAGTCTTGACAGATTACTGATGATGATGATGATGATGTTAAACTCAGTATGAGGGTGTGGATTATACTTGATTAGCTCATGATAGGCCAATAAGAAACTGGTGTGATCATGGTAATATATAATATATCTGATGTATTATTTTCAGTTTCTGCATGGAAGTCGTTTGTTAGTCTCTCAAAATTCCTTCAGGGGAGTGGGGTCCAGGCGTTCATTCTTGTGACATGTTTGACAGGCCCATAGCCCATATGCATTACAGATTAAATTTAACCAGCTCACAACTCATGTTTGAAGTGCGCCCTGCTGTTCTGCATGCATTTCTGGCACTTGTGAGAGAAGTTGTTTTATATGGATTCAGTTTCAGGAGTTTTGTGGCAGCTATTTTTTAAACTCAAGGCATCTGAGGATTGTTTTGAGGAGACTGTATAAGTCTAATGCTAACACTGATTTCATCCCGTTTCTCCTCAGCAAGTACTTGCTTCTCTGATTTGATTCTTTTTTGTCTCATAATGACCCTGTCTGTGTTAATTTGTTTGTGATTGCATGAATAGTTTTTCTATTCAGAAATGTAACATCCTGAAATTTGTGCCGGATTTATCTCCTTACTTTCCTTGCACAACCTCTTTTCACGTAGGATTGTATGTAAGCACCTGTTGCTCTGCTGTGCAACACATACATGGTATTTTGGCACAGGAAATAATAAAACTGAGCCTTGACTGCACTGCTTATCGCATGTCAGCCACAGTAGCAGTACGAGGCCCAGGATTTGTGAGTGGCCTGGGACATTACGCATAAGTTTGCTTCATGGTGGCTCTTCACTACTTCTTTCGAGTGACATTGAAGGGAAGTTGTAATATGTATGAGATAGTGGTTTGTTGACCATCAAGCAAGCCCAAACGTGTGAAATGTGAGATGATATGAGTAGCCTTTGTCCCTCTCAACTGACTGACTGAAGGTTTTTCTGAAGGCTGGGAGACTGTCTTCCTGTATTTCATTAACTCACTCTTTATATATTGCTTTTGTTTTGGCTTTACTTTGCTTTTCACTGAATTTTGTTTACTGATAACATTTCCATTCATGGTATAGAAAATTATTTTGTAAAATTGCAACTTATTGAATAAGAAAATTTTCTTAGATTTGTTTCATTCTGGTCCATCACACTAACCGTATTACAAATGATAAAACAATTCTGTCCAGTGTGACTGTTGAAGCTTTTACTACTTCACTTCTTAGCACCCTAACATGTTTCGGTCCCTATAGACCATCATCAGAGGGAACATCAATACTTTTAGAAACTACTATTACATTGGGTGTTTTGATTTTTAAAATACATAAATATACAATATTTGTAATACACACTTTATACAAAATCCAAATTTCTTACAACTACATCAACTGTCCTTGATACATTAAAGTTTTCTTTTTTTAACTTTTTGTTATTTAAGTTAAAATTCCTTAACCAAATAGGTTTGTCTCCCTTGTCCTTTCGTTTTTCTTGACGGGCCAGAACTTGTGCCCAAGAAAGACAGGCGGCACAAGGACAGTTGCTGTAGTTGTAAGAAATTTGGATTTTGTATAAAGTGTATATTACAAATATTGTATATTTATGCATTTTAAAGATCAAAGCACCCAATGTAATAGTAGTTTCTAAAAGTACTGATTTTCCCTATGATGATGGTCTATAGGGACTGAAACATGTTAGGGTGCTAAGAAGTGAAGTAGTAAAAGCTTCAACAGTCACACTGGATGGAATTGTTTTATCATTTGTAAAATTGTCTTACTTTTGTTATTTCAGTTGTTGATTATTGGTGCATGTATATTAATAACCTTCTGCATTATTAAGAAGCTCTGTTCTAAATGATGGATATTAAAAGGTAAAGCTATCCCTGTAACAGGCTGTGAATGCCCATAGGGTTGTGTGACATCAAGGCTCCCACATTTCCTAGACATTCGGCTCATAGATGGTGGTGAGGTTGTCAGCCTTACACACCAGCTGCCCTTCACCCCACAAGAAAATTCCTGGCACTGATTTCTGTCAGAGGCTTAGTCAACCCCAGGGCCATAGTGTGGCTGGGATGTTTAGGTCAATTGAAAAATCCATTGACCTCACTAGGATTTGAACCTGTGACCTTCTGGCTTGTAGCATAGTGCCTCAACTAATTATGGTACTGCATGCCCAAAATAATGGATGTTATTGCCATCAAAAATAAAAACTTAAATTGCACTAAGTCCATGAAAAATGTTTTTACTGCTTGTTTTTCTTCCAGATATCAATGGAGTACATCAGACAGCAGAAGAAATGGATGCTATTCGGCAAAGGAATGTGGCATATGAATATCTGTGCCACTTGGAGGAAGCAAAAAAGTTAGGGGATGTCTAGTAACTAAACTGAATTGGGGAACACAATCCATACAACAGTAACTTAAGCAGTATAAGTACTTTCTTTAGCTGAAAAAGGTGGTCATATTGAAGCCCAGTAAAAACGTGTTTCTACGCTATGTTCTTTAATAAAACACTAAAATGAATGAAATATTTGGATAATATTTTTTAAAATGTGTTGTGTCACCTTCATTAACACAGGCTGTTTGTTGCACTTTGAAATTTAGGTGTGGTTAATTAATAGTCAGATGGAGACAAGTAAAAGGATTTATGTAGGGAGTGTCACATTTATTGTGGAACCTGTTTTGGGAGTGTACTGTCAGATTGCAGTTAGCTGATACCTACGTCAATATGACGTAACTAACTGTGTTAAGCAGGTGGTGGAGATGACGTACTTTAGCTATTGCTCTTGCTTGACAGCTGCTGAACATGTTACTGAATTCTTTTAAGTTCTTGTCTTGAAACTAACAGTACTAGATTCTTGGTGTTTTCTTTAAGTTCATCGTCTGTGTATGGATTGTTCTGGAAAATTTTGTCTCTCAGACTTCATTGTAGATAATAACAGTGAAATCACGTCAGGTGAATCAGCAGGTCGCAGTGAACAAACGTTTTGTCAAAAATGTTATGTAAGGGAGTTGCTCAATTATTGCTGTATGAACAATTACACAGTATTGCTGGGATTTAGGTTTAAAAAATGGCTTGAGAATTGTTATCTTTCTGAATTTACTACCTCTGAAAAGGAGAAGGAGGCAGTAATTCTTGTGAAAGCACTTTGTGTGTCAGTCTGTGTTTTTGTCAAGACCTGTATATCTGCTGTTCTGGATACTTTGTGCCCACTCATAAAACCATGTCTTAACATTGGGTCAACTTCACCACCACATACTGCCTGACAAAGCCAATTACAAAACTACACTCTTGCTACAGACCTTTTTCATGACCTTTTACCCTTTTCATTATATTATTCTTGAACCTCTCCTAATACGTATCATTAGCCCAACCCTGCAGGAAGTTGTCAGTGAACCGAAACCTTTCGTGCAGCCCATTGTGCCATGAGCTTACTTACATACATGGTGCATTGAGTATTATAACAGTTTTATTGAAAGGTTGGTGGGTTTCTTTGTGCACAAAAGGTTTTAAAAATGCTGTGTCTGACATATGCCAAGTTCTGTTTCATTCCATGTGGGGTTTAATAAAATATGACTTCTCTGAATTATTGTCCAGGTTCATGCAGATATTGATATTCTCATGACATTTGAACATGCTCACACACAAGCACTCACATTACCCTACTACACAGTAGTGACCATGTTTGGGTGTGAAGTCATGTGGGGAAGCCAGTCAGTGACAACACTACCAGGTGGCTTCCAAAATGTATGAAACTTGCTGTAGAAGATGCAAATAGGGAATTGTTAGGTCCTTAAATCTATCTGTATGGATTGGATGTGTGAGACCTTTAATATGTTTGATGTGGAAAGGGGGGTTATATTTCACAGGGTTTCTTTATATTGTAACTAACAAAACCGTTCACAGGTGGATGGAAGCTGTGTTGAAAGAAGAACTGCCCACAACAACAGAATTAGAAGAAAACTTACGGAATGGTGTATTTTTGGCCAGACTTGGAAATATTGTAGCTCCTGGAACAGTGCCATTGACCAAGATTTACGACATCGATCAGAAGCTATTCAGAGCAGTTGGTTTGCAGTTCCGACACACTGACAACATTAACTATTGGCTCAAGTCATTAGAAGCTGTCTCGCTGCCAACAGTAAGTGCAGAGTTGCTTTTAGGCCCGTTTCCTATGAATGTAATTCCTATGCTTCCTGAGGGCTGATATAGTGATTGAACTATGCTATCATCATCTTTTCTTCTCCAACATTAGTGAAACACCCCCCCCCCCTTTCAGATAGTGTAAAATTAAAACCCAAGCATTTGAAATTGAACCTGAATTTAAAATCCCTGAACTAAATGTGTTATTAAAGATAGGTTGTTGTAACATGCTGGCTAAAGGTAGCCACACAGGGTGTGTGAGAAAGAACTCTGGAATTCTAGCTATAAATATTTATTCACTGCTTTGACATAAAAATTTCTTATTAACAAGAACTAGTAAGCAGCCTGACCAAGTTTTGCTGACATTTATTGCAATTCGGTGTCAGCATCAGTGACAGCCCTACAGGAAACAAAACCCCACTTTACCCAACACCCAGGATAGAGCATCCAGAGGAACCACAGCTATAGCTGCTGTAATCCTTCAGCACAAATTTGGAAGAGAAACTACCCATTCACTATACATGGTGTCTTTGACATACCCCCAGAAGAACAATCCCATGGGTGTTAAATTATGACCCTGTGTAGGCCAGTTATTTGGTCTTCCTCTGCTGATCTATAGACCAGGAAATTGTTTGTTCAGAAAAGTGAATACAGTGGCACAAAAATGGGCAGGTACACCATCTTGTTGAACAGTGAGGCCATCAACTTCAGCTACTATCTGTGGGAGCACAAAGTTTTCTAACACAGCCAGGTAAACTGAACTTGTGATTGTGATCTCTTGGATGAAGAAGGGTCATACAATTCAGTCCGACATGCTGTCGTGATTGTTCTCAATTAGGCCAGTGGGTTCTCACTGCCCCAAATCCTGCGGTTGTGGTGGTTTACAACACCATGTGCATGTAAAATGAGCTCACTGGGAAAAACAATTTTCAGGAGATATTTGTCGCTGTTGTGAGCTGTTTTAGCATGAATATTACCAAGTTTATGCTTTGGGGATTTTTGTGAGGATGAATGTGTGCACTAGTTGCAGTTTGTATGCATGTAGTTTCAGTCTCCTGTGCACATGATGTGCCATACTCTTTGGAATTTGTCACTGATGGCTAATGTGCCAAACAGAATGTTTCGGGCTGCAGTGAAGTGTTACCCGGATGTCCTCAGTGTTGTCTTGTGATGTGCTTGGCTTATCTGGTGAATGTCCTTTCTATAAATTCACAGTTTCTTGGAACTGCTGATACACTTATTGGGTGGAGCATCTTTTTGCTGCACCAGCCTAAAATTTTTTCTAACAGTAACCACAGATTCTGATTCCCCCTACCACAACATGCACAGCACCTTTTCCTGCAGCAATTCCATGACTGACTTACTCCTGCTCTGATGCTTTCCAACTTCTTATGGTGCAGTGCTACCATTTCTTTAGAATTTTTCACTAAAACTTGGACAGATTTTGCACTATATTTTTTAAATACACCAATTCTGATTAAGCAGCGAATAAATGTGAATAACTAATACTCTGAAATTCTTTTTTGGACACTGCACTAGACAAGTATTGAGTAATGCTGATAGAGTGATGCTTGGCAGAGGAAAACTGAAGAAATTCAGGCATGAACCTGCTCCAATGGCATTTTTTCCACTGTGAATCTCACATGAAGTCACTTGATATTGAAACCAAGTCTCCAGGATAAAAAGACTGAGCTATGACACTGCCATAAATTTGTTTTACTTAACCAGGATAATAAGAAACTGAAAACAGAGACATGTGAGTGGACAGTTAACAAAACTTGGGCTCATGTAAGTAGTTAATTTCCTGCAACATCATTTAATGTGACAACTTTGCTTTCAGACTTTCCATCCCGAAACAACAGATGTCTATGATAAAAAGAATATGCCTCGGGTGATATACTGTCTCCACGCATTAAGCACACATCTCTTCAAGTTGGGCAAAGCCCCTATGATCCAAGATCTCTATGGGAAGGTTAATTTTACAGGTAATGTTCAACATACATATCTGAATAATGTGCTCAATTCGACATGAACTAGATAAAGTAAGGAGTGTCAGCCATAAAACAATTATTGTAGCCTCTGAACTTCGCTTCTGCTGTTATGTGGCAAGGAAAAGATGGACAAAAGAGTTAATTTTAGACATTTCATTTCATTGTATTAACCCTTATATGCTCAGTGCGCTGATCCATTGGCGCATTACGTAATGGCCAGAACACTCAGGCAGCCGATCTATTGGCTTCGTGTAAATCATGCTCTTGTAGTTATATAAATGGCTCAAAAATTGCAGCACAAGATGGTACCTAATTTTCCAAGGTTTATTTGACAGTTTGCAGCCAGATGACATCCCTTTGCTCACAAGAGAATTTTTTTGAAACAAATGAAATATGTTGAGCTCATATGTTTAGTTGGTGGTTCAGTGATTTCTTGGTCTGTGGCTTTAGTTGTGTTACTGTGAATATATCATGGGACCAAGTCAGAAGAAGGCAAAATAATGACCATCATAAAAATTATATTAAACTCACAGAGCAAAATGGCCACTAGAGTTCACAGGCCCCTCAAAATCCTAGCATTCAATGCTAATGGCATTGCGAGGCATCCCTCTGAGCTCAGTACACACAGACGTGGCCCTGCTCTCAGAGACAAATTTGAAATATCGTGAAACATTTTTTATTCCAAACTATCACATTTCTTGGATCGACTGCTTCCTGGGCAGAAAAGGTAAAACTCTCTTTGCAATTAGAAAATACATTCCCCACAACAATGTAGACTTGCCTACAGTTCAGGTTATATAAGAAGTGAGTTTATATTATTGTTTTCCTGATTTACAGATACAAGTTTGCCCACTTGTTGTGTCAGATACTTTGTAGTGAAAGGAAAGTAGGCAATTAGTTCTTCCCAGAACTTCTTGTTTTTTAATTCATTGTTCTAAGAAAATAATAAAGCAGTACAGCGAAGCAATTACAGCTCTATCTGATGATGATCATATGATATTGAAACCTGTAGAAGGTAAGATTTACAACAAAGTGACAACGTAGCACAGCACACCATCAGTCTATGAGCAGGATAAGCAGTTGCAACTTAAAGACCTGCCTGCAGAAATCAAATCATTATTAATCACAGCAGTCCTCTAAGTCACTCACTCACCCACCCACCAACCAACTCACCTCAGTTCATAACTGCAGTCAGTTGAGAGATGTAGCCTCAGAGTGGACCCAACAGAAAACACCACTCCTCTGTTGATGTGGGTAGCATGGTATTAAGTGTTCCATTGCAGCAGCACTGTCCACCTGGTTCTGGATGGTGTGGCAACATGGCTTCTCGCAGCTCTCCTATTGTTACATGATGTCACTGTGAATGTGATGTGTTCCTCTGTTGTTTGTGCAGTCATTGTTAGGCTAATAACTTGTTTACTATGCCATAACCTAGCAACAGCTGTCTGCATGCTATAATATGAATTTGGAAACTGAGAAGGAGAACCAGTATTTATAGCATACAGAAAATTATTGGACTATTTTTACAGGTGAGGTAACAGTGAGTTATGTTGCAAACAGAAATGTTTAAAATTCTTGTATATGTTCATAAGTGTTGATATGTATTTTTTATGTAAACTGTAGTGGTATATATTAAAAAGATGAGTCGAAGTATGTTGGCATTCAGTCCATTACCTCATTCTATTAAAAAAATAAAACAAAATGGATTTAATGTTCACATAAGATTATAAATAGGGCATGAATTTCGGAGAGCTTACCCAGCATGTGAAATTGATGGGGCAGAGTGTAATCCTACCTCTGTCCTGGTTGGAGTTGGGCTGATAACCTTATTTTTGTGTATAATTTAGTCTTACATGACTGTACCATGAAGACTAAAGTATTTAAGTTTTTTAGGACTAGCCTATTTAGTTTCTGAGGGTTATATCAATCACATTCCAAGACTAAAGTATTTAATATTGTACAGCCTCATCCTGTTGTACTGTGTATTCTAACTTCGTGTTCTCACACCTTGCCGTCTTTGTGCAACTTCATGGATGTATTAATATTCACGTGTCTTCATCTGTTTATTATACAGCACTGCGTGTTTCAGCCTCATTGACCATCATCAGGTGCATAAGAAGAAGGAACAATTGAGTACATTGATTTAGTTTATTTTAGTTATAGTTTGGAGCACATTTGCTAAAGTTTCTGTATATTCCAGATGAAGAAATCAATGCTGTGGGGTTAGAGTTGAAGAAGTATGGAATCCAGATGCCAGCTTTTCGGAAGATTGGTGGACTACTAGCTAATGAATTAGGAGCTGACACAGCAGTTCTTCACGCAGCCATTATAGCAATCAATGAAGCGATTGACAGAAAGGTGCTGAATTAAGCCAGTCACATTAATAGAAATGTTTCCATGGTAATCTATAAAACTGTGCTTTGTGAAGCAGAAAATCACTATGGTGTTGGTCATCATCATAATCGTCCTTTCCATTATTATGTCTGTTGATCCATCATTTCATAGGTCTTCCCAGCCTCCGTTAATAATCTAACATCTTTGGGATCGTTTCAGAGCTTATCCTATTAGTGTTTTCTTTTCATTTTCCTCTGTATTGTATGAATTCTGTTATTTGTGGAATTTTTATCTCTGTTACAATTTAATTTCCTTTTATGGTCTAAAGGTGTTTCTCACAGCACTCCCAATGAAACACGTTTCTGCCGATGTCTTCTCTCATCATTCTTATTGCCTCTGATCCTCACCCTTAAAATAGCGTTGGTCTAGAAAGTGTCTTATAAATTTGTACTCTTGTATGAATAGAAACTAATACTAATATTTTTACAAAATGTTCAGATTTACGTGCAGATTATTTTCTCCTTCATGAGACATGTGATATCCAAAGTAATGGAAAGAATAGATCAGTGTGGTCGCGGTGCAAGGGCCAAGAAGGCCCACCCCTTATACGTTCAATGGAAAGAATTAATTTGTTCCAGTATTGTGTCCCTAATGCATGTCTTTCTTCTAGTTGATCCTGTTCCACTAAAAGCCTCTAAAAATTTTAGTTCCTGTCGATACTTGTTTTGTTCACTTGGTAATGATTTTAAATGAATAATCTTTATGGTATACTTCCGGTTGTGTGTTATTTATGAAAACATATTTTGGAAAGTCGTACAAGAGATAATCAAAAAGAAACAAAATAGACACTACTGTGTCACCATTTGTTGGGGGGGGGGGATCTTCCTCTTCTCCTCCTCCTACTCTCTCTCTCTCTCTCTCTCTCTCTTTTTTCTGCATGTTTTCAACCCTTTTCTTGGGTCATCTTCAGGCATACACAAATACTATTTAGCTTCTGAATTGCATCATTAATCAGTATGAATTCATACTGTGTTTATACGATTATTCTATACTGACAGTTATATCTTAATTTTAAAATGTGGTTCAAATATAGTTAAACCTAGACACCAAAATTGATAACACCCTCCTGTGCCCAATTTATGTTGTGTAAACTTCAAGACTGTTGAAGTTATAATATTACCTCTCATGTGTGTGGAATGTTATCTCTGAATCTTAAGAGACACAACATAAAATTGAGACCGCTAGGGAATGAATAATGTGGAAAATGTGTAGACCTAAAGGAGGAGTAACAGAAGGTTGGGGAAAATTATGCAATAAGATATGTTGAATGAAAAGTGATGCCTTGAACTTCATGACTCACCAGCAGAGGGCAACACTGACATGCTGCAAGTTGTGACAGGTTCTATAGCATCTATTCTTGCACCTCAGTTGGCAGAAAATTTCTGTGTTAAAAGGTTGTGTTGCTGTTGTATGTGAAATGGAAGTCTGCACTGAGCACTTGTCAGAGCACTTAAAGCAATGTGCCATGATTTAATTCTTATTGCAGGTTTATTGCAAAATGCAGGTTGTTTATGTTGATGACTGTGTTGATGTGAGCACTTTGCTTCGCTGGGTCTTTCTATGTAGGCAATGCGTTTGTTGCATCAGCCATAGTTTCAGCACGAGTATATCCATATATCATATATAAGAAAGCTTGGGCATACATTTACATTGATGAAACTGAGAATTTTGTGTTCATTTTGTATTTGCAGTCACAGAAATTTTTTTATATACAGGATCCCTCAGAAATTTTGAAGTGTCTTAGTAATCCAGCTGCAAGATTACAACATTTATACCCTCCGTATGCTGCATTCTATCAAGAGGATATGAAAAATGCTAAACTTAATAAAGCTGAAGAAACTTTTAACAGGGTATGTATACTGTAAGCATTAGATGTGATTTTAAAAGTGTCACTCACGATTTCTTTTTGTGCCAATAATGCTGAAGCATTGAATTCATAACAGAAAAGATCTCCTATTGAGAAATAACTGTCACCTATTTCAGAAAACTTCCTGCACCAGGGAATTAAGTATTTTTATCTGTTTTGTTAAATGGTAATTTAATGTTACTTGAGTGTATCTGTCCTTACTTTTTGTGGCTTGTAATTATTTACTGCTGATTTGCCTTTTGATCTTACTAAATAATACAGTCAACTATGGTTATCTCTTATCAGAGGATCTTGAATTCCCATGCAACTGCTAAATATTTTAAAGGAAATTTACCATTTGTGTAAATTTACTTCAAAAACAAATTTCCAATACATCTACCATACAGTAGTTCCTCCAGCTGCTGCTAGGAGTGCTGCTTGTTATCTGTCCTCATATAGGTATATTACAATAGAGGTTAGTTGAATTTGTGATCGTGTTTTAGTATATCCAGAATCTTTCATCCATCCATCTTCTGTGTTTTGGCAACATCATACGTTGCCACATTCGCAACTCAACACCTAACAACTGCAAATATAGAATTGCATCCTTGTTTGAACCACATATGACCTAGCAAATATTCACTCCAGAATTGTTCAGTTCATATATCTATATACAGTACCATATAATGATACAAATTCCATCCCAAGTGCAAACAATATATTATGTGTCCTTGATCTTGTTCCTCTACACTACATGTTTCATATCATTTATCATATGGAGTGCAACAGGATGCTTAAATATAATATTGTATACAGTACCATATTTTAATATGTAATATTGACGAATACCAGTATTGTCATCCATCAGAAATCGTTGTAAATATGGGCCCATATAAGAAGTAAGATGGTTTGCAATTCAAAAGAGCATTTGTTAAACAGTTGTATTCACCTGATGATGGCCAGTTAAAATGGTCAAAACATGTTGTGATATTAATAAGACAAATTGAATGTTATACATTCTTTGAGCTGCTTTAGACGGAACAAGTGTAATATAATAGATAACAGATGTTCTGAAAATGTGGCACAGTTCTGATATTTGGGAACGATGATAATAAATCGAAACCTTATTCAGGCAGAAATTAAGAGGAGATTGAACTTGGGTAATGCCTGCTGCCTATCAGTCCATAACCCTTTGTCTTCTCATCTGCTGTCCAAAAACATAAATATAGAATATACAGAACTATAATTTTGCCTGTGGTTCTGTATGGATATGAAACTTGGTCTCTGACATTAAGGGAGGAACATAGACTGAGAATGTTAGAGAACAGGGTGCCGAGGAGAATATTTGGACCGAAGAGAGGTGAAGTGACAGGAGGTTGGAGAAAACTGCATAATGAGGAGCTTCATAACTTGTACTGTTCTCCAAGTATAATTAGAATGATCAGATCAAGGAGAATAAGGTGGGCAGTGTATAGTATAGCACAAATGGGGGAGAAGAGGAATGCATATTTGATATTGGGGGGGGGGGAGCCAGAAGGAAAGAGACCACTGGGAAGACCAAGGCATGGGTGGGTGGACAATATTAAAATGGATATTAGATAGGGTGGGTTGGTATGGACTGGCTTTATCTGTTTCAGGATAGGGACTGGTGGAGGGCTCTTGTGAACACAGTAATGAACCTTTGGGTTCCATAAAATGCTGGGAAATTCTTGAGTAGCTGCACAATTGATGGCTTCTCAAGAAGGGCTCAGTTCCTTGAGTGAGTGAGTGAGAAAGGTAAAAGGTAATGTCCCTGTGCTTAACTAGTTAAGAACTGCCATGAAGGCGTATGGGGGTGTGGATGTATAAATCCACATTTTCTTGACCTCAGCACTAGTTGGAGGTGAGTATGAAAAATGTACAGCACTTCTGAAGTTTACCTAGATTTTTTATTCTTCAATTTTTTCTGACTTCCCCCAAACTCATGTGGCACACCTGCTGACCCTTCATGGCACAACGGTTTAAAATCACTTCTATACAAGCTTTTCTAGTAGGCTACTGTACTGGGTTCCTGTATGGATTTTTCTCATGCTTTCAGCACATTCATGTAACATTTATGTGCTGGATAACAGAATTTTCTGTAATTTAGTAAGCACTGGCTGAGAGACTTGTTGGTGTTCAAGTTTATGATGATAATTGTTGCTGTTACAACCTTCCAACCCATGTCATTTGCATGACTACCAGTTTGCTAAACAGATGCCTATCCATACTGTAGTGTTCACTGTAACACAGTACAAGAAAGTGAGAATTTTGCCCTACACGCTTTAGCAGTTTTTCTTGTATAGTTTGCTACTGCACACAAGCAGTA